GCTTAATTTTCCAAATTCATTGGCTCATACCACTTTGATTATGTTTAGTTTGTGTCACAAGGAGACTTCCTATTTTGTGCAAAGGAAAAATGGACTTTTTTTGGGTTACCTCTGGAGCATATGGACTTTTATGGGTCTGGTTTTAAAGTAACAGGAATTTGATTGGGTCTAACCACACCAAAAAATTATTCGAAAACCATTCAGGGGATAAAGTCAAGAAATTGTGATGTTATAGGAGATTGATAAAGAAGACACTTCTCCAAGTTTTAAGTCTGTGCGTCCTCCCAAACTTTGCACAAATTTACAGAGCGCAGTATGGAGCCACCATGTTGGTGTACCTCCATAGTACACTTACATGGTGGCTGGAAAATAGTGTAAGCATCTGGAAATTACTTTGGCTTAGTATCTAAGCGACTGATTATCTGTACTGAACAAACAAGCATTTACATAAGCACTTTTGCTAATACTTTAACTCATGAATAGGCTAAAAATCACGATGTAAGTGTATTCATAACTCTTTGTCATGCACTGCCATAACTCTGAAATTCAAAATGCACAGTTGGTTTCCAGACGAAGCAAGCTACTGAGCTGAAAAGTTCTACACAGATATATAAATTTAGCACCCCTTATACCTGATGAGGATAAAGAGTTTGGTGTCTCTTTAGTTAAAAGAGATACAAATCTTCTTGACATTGGTTATCTTTCTACAGCTATGATGACCTGTTACGCGAAGAGCGTACATCCCTACAGGAAGTGACGGCAATGGAGAAAAAGTTTGAATCTTGNTCAAAATATTTTGCACAAATTTACAGAACCCAGTATGGAGCCGCCATGTTGGTGTACCTCCATAGTACACCTACATGGTGGCTGGAGAATAGTGTAAGCATCTGGAAATTACTTTGGCTTAGTATCTAAGCAACTGATTATCTGTACTGAACAAACAAGCATTTACATAAGCACTTTTGCTAATACTTTAACTCACGAATAGGCTAAAAATCACGATGTAAGTGTATATTTTTCGACAAATGCAAATTTAGCACCCCTTATACCTGATGAGGATAAAGACTTTGGTGTCTCTTTAGTTGAAAGAGATACAAATCTTCTTGGCATTGGTTATCTTTCTACAGCTATGATGACCTGTTACGCGAAGAGCGCACATCCCTACAGGAAGTGACGGCAATGGAGAAAAAGTTTGAATCTTGGTCTCAGCTGCCAGCACCTGCAACTGCTGCAGCTGATGTAAAGAAGGCAGCTGGAGCAGTAACAGTTTCACTTCCCCCAGCAGTAGCAGCATTTGAGGTACTTTATTTGTAACCAATGATAAATTTATTGTCTTTTGAGATCTTCGAGAGGGAAAATAATAATCATGAAGTATTAATGATAACTGGATAAAAAAATTGTCCACCAGATCTTGTAAGACCCTGGAAGATTTTTGAGGATTCGGATTGTGTCAAAGTTATTTGGGAGTAAGAATGTAACAAGTAGGTACAATTTCCTTAAAGATCATCATCTTTTAAAATGAAAATCATACAGGATTGCTAACTAAAGACAATCCTCAAAGTTCTTCAAGCATCTTTCAAACCAGTATAGGAATAGTCCAGACCTGTAGGATCGTTGAATCCAACTATGCTGTGATTATTCAGTCTTTCTATTCGTACCAGGTTTTGTTGTTCACTTAAGGTGTAATCAATTGATATTAATTTGTCACAGAGGTTCTTGGCCCAAACTGGTGGACATAGTGGAGGATGGGATGACTATGATCATCAACTCTTCCTTAAACTGAAGAGCAAGCACAAGGTA